GAAAAGTGATTAATCTAGAAAACGTGAATATCGCTGTACACTTTTCATTCATTGGGCATTCTAAGGGCATTCATTTTTTCAAAAGGGGCACATTCTCTTCGTTGCTCTGCTTATTACGAATCTTTGCCGGATTAGCGAGCCAGTCCAGCAATAATACTTCCATGTCCTCGTTCTCCCAATCATCAACGCCACCTCCAGCTGCCGTGCACTCAAGATTGCGATGACTCTGCCTCGAAGGGAGATTCCTCCGTTCTAAGGCATCGGCGTTTACATTTCGAGCCCGGTAGTGGGCCTTCCGCTCTGCCTTTCTTGCGCTTTTCAATGCGCTTCTCCAATCGACGAAGACGGTATACAGAGTAGGGCCATGTAAGTCGGACGTGTCCTGAAATGCACGAAAACCTTCTGCATTTAATGACCTCACAACTCTTTGAGTGACACGGGCCAGATTGTGTGGTGGGGTCAAGGCTCTCAAGCCTGCTAGAGTTCCGATGTCAAGATAAGTGTTTGTGGTGCCTAGATCTTTATAGCAACGGATGATGGCCGACCTCACGGACTTATGTACTTGATTGTCCAATTCAATCACTGCAGCTCGGTCTTTCGGTTGATAACGAACAATCGAGTCCATGGCATTCAATTCCACTTGCTTTATTATTTAAGAAGCGAAATTGTGCAGATTGTCAAGACGAAGTTGGTGAAGAGGTGACGAAATCGGTGAAGGGCCTCGATACTACGGCTCGTGGTACCTTCGATATGCCTTCGACTTCAAAAACTGCACCTCTAGCTGTCTTTCAACCCAAGCTCCTCGAGCTGCGTTAAGCAACTCTGTAGTGCTTGCACGTTGCAGGACCCGCTCCTCGAACTCTGCAACCCTCAGAAGATAGACCACGTAATCTGTAACGAGTGCAACCTCCACGTTGAGCCACGCCTTCCAGAGCATGCCTCCTGCTTTTTGAGCGTTGAGGCCTTGCTTGAAGCGATCGTTTAGAGGCGCAAACAGCTCGGTGGCATAGAGAGCTTGTACAGCGTTAAGAGAACTTGGTCCCGCGCTCTCCCTCCCAAGCTTGCGTAGCTCGTGGATGTAGTGTCGTCCAAAGTCTTCCAAATGGTGCGGGCTTCTCTCCTGTTATCACAAAGAACGAGGACTTGTTGGCCACCGTGGTATTTCTCACAACTTTAAATAAGCATCTATGTACACTTCAAGCATCCAAATGAGCAAAGATGTACACTAATCAAAGGATCGCATGATAGGAATGTGACTTGATGTACACTTTAAGCATCATAATGAGCAAAGATGTACACTATACTCAGACATCTTTCTGATGGCCGCATGATAGGAATGGGACTTGAATACAATTTGAGCGTCACAATGAGCAAAGATGTACACTATCTTTAGTCATTTGTTTGATGGCCACGGGTCTATGAAGGCAGGGCTTAGACCATCTCACCTGAACCTTATCCGGGTGAAACCTCAGGGACCAGGTCGAGTGGCTCAGTTGGATGTTACCTGAAGCGAACCGCGCCTTCACCTCGTTGGGGGTGAACTGAGCGTCTGCCAGAAGCCACGAGATTGGCGGCCACATGTAGGGCGGTGCCTCGGGCTCTGGGGGCGCCGGTACGGCTTTCAACGAGAGATCGCGGTACTTTGCCATATGGCGGGCTCTGAAGGTGGCCCACTTTCCCTTCAAGGTATCTCGGTACTTCGCAACTGCAGCATGATTGCTTCGCTGCTTCATGCGATGGGCTTCATCAGGGCTCAAGCCTCGCAACCTAGAGATGCGACGCTCGATGGGCAGCTTTGCTGGCTCGCAACCGGTCCTTGCGCGGTGGACCTCGAGAGCTTGCTTCGACGCAAAGTCCCTACTGCACGCTCCTTCATGTCGATCCGAATGATTTTCAAGGCAAACGTAGCGGTTGTTCCGCCTCTCCCATTGTTGTCTAGATACTTCGGGCACAGCGGAATGATGCAGCGAAGCGATGCTGGGGTCCGCCATCTCGTGCTTAGACCGCTCGATTCTGTATGATTGTTCATTTCGCATTCTTCTAAGCCTCGATGCGATTCTTAGTAAGGATCAACAGACGAGAGTGACGGGCCGCTCGCTTCACCTTTAGAGGCCAGCGACATTTCGTGGAAAGTCGCGTGCGTCCAAGTGTCCGAGATTTGCGCAGACCTTTTCGGAAGGTCCCCTTTTCATGACGTCAGCAGCCAGTCCACTAGCAATATGTATCTGCTGTAGTTGATGGTGGCTAAGCTTGCGTCCAAGTGTCCGAGACCTGTGCATACCTTCTCAGAAGGTCCTCTTTTCATGACGTCAGCAGCCATTCCGCCTTTCATCCATATTCACCGTCATACTAGTGTAGTATGCCCCTGTGTATTGAACTACAAATTGCTACCGGCTTCCATGAATGACATGCATCATACGGTTGGATTTTGTACAAACAGCATGCTTGGTAACATATGTGACCATATACGCAAACGGCCACGAGCCAAAGGACTTGTTAGCTAGAGCATCATTTATGCTACCTCCACAAAGGTGGGCACCTGATCTACCTTGTATACAATACTATTCAACAAAGCACCACTAACGGAACAGCAAGCGACTTGTTTTTTTCGTTTTCGTGGAAAGGCCTCTCAATCGTAACACGTACCTAAAGCCTACTCTCTGAAAGGTCGGCAGAAAACAATAACTTATGTACAGTTCTACCCAACGGTCAATGCAAGACTAGTGGAAGAAACTTGAAAGCAAGCGACTGGTTCTTACGACGGAAAAATGCTTCTCAATTCTGCTCGCCCCTAATGGCCTATTCTTTCAAGAGGTGGGCAATCAGTCTATGTACAATTCTTCTCATCGAAGCAAGCCTCATGGAACAAGCAAGCAACTGGCTTTTACAAGGTGGACGCGTGTCAATCGTACTCGCACTTGAAGCCTACATAGCACGAGCTCCGCTGAGAAGCGAGATCACCGGTGAAACGCCCAGCGCGCTTCGTTCTCCCATACCCTTTCTCCCGCATCTGCTTAGCCAACTCCTCCTTGGCAATCTTCAGCCCTGCAAACAACTGGAACTGTCTCCAGAATTCGTCCTCCCACGTGACGGTCTTTGTGGCGTCGGGCGTGTCAGCTGCGTCCAGGACGCAGTGCTCCGACTGCAGGAAGGTCTGCAGCTTGTCTCCACGCTGCAGCCACGCCATCGAGGCCGCCTGAACGGCCGGCGGGTGCCGGCGCAAGACCGTGGGGTCCTCGTACCAAGCGCAGCTCCCTTGGACCAAGAACGTGAGGAACTCTTCACAGACCGCTGGCGTCTGCATCCGCTGCTTCAGACTGCCATCCACGAGCCTATGGCTAGGGTTCGTTTCGTCGAACTTGTTCTCAGACACGTACTCGTTTGGGAATCGAACCACGATGAGGCGGCGGTCAATGTTGGCCTGCTTCGCCAGGGTCGGGGGGATCTCAGGATCGTAGTTGGTTTGGATGAAAGGCGTATGGGTAAAGCGGATCGTAGCGTTTTTCTCGAAGAGGTTTCGAAAACTCTGCTTTCCCCCGCCGGTCATCATGAGGACGAGCCCGAGATCAACGCGCTCGCCCGGGCTCGTCTCGTCCGTGATAGCAACCCGGAAGCCCTTCAATTCGGCGAGGTAGCCCGTGGCAGCACCCTTGGTGGGGGGTCGCTGCCCGGGAGGCTTCACCACAGCGTCCTTGGCCATCACTCCGTAGTACTCGCCCAGCGTATTCTCGAGCATCTCCTTGCAGACCCCCTTGCCATTCCCTGCACATCAAGTAGAGCAGGGTGAGTAGTCAGACTGCCTGCTGAAACCCCTATCTTTTAAAAGTGGGCACAGAGCTCAAAAACCTCGGACACTTGGAAGCTATCAAGAGCGAATTTTGGGTGTGATGGTTGATGACGTCATCTGGAAGGAGTATCTTCCAAGAGGCGGGCAGAGTGCTCAAACACTCGGACACCTAGAAGCTATTGGGCGGCATGGTTGCTGACGTCACCAAAAGGAGGCCCTTCGAGAAGGTAAGCACGGAGCGCGGACACTCGGACGCTTGCACGCTATCAATCGCAGCAGACCTTGAGGGGATGGCTGAAGACTGCTGTCTCATTGGGTTGCTTTCGAAAACGGGGATCCCTGGACGGTTGAACAAAGAGACGCCCAAACAAGAGCAATCAGAGCGGTTTTAACGTGAGCGACCTACCGCCGCTTCCGAGTAAGAACACAATGATCTCCTCGCTGATCCGCCCGTTTATGGCGTACCCCCATAGCCTCTGCATGAACTCAATGAGTGCTTGGTCGCCGTTGAAGATGTCGGCCAGGAAATCGCGGATGGTGGGGGTCGGATGACTGAGCCCCTGCAAGGAACGGGTCGTCCGGAGCTTCTTCTGATCTGCTTACTTCCAAGGCCACAATGCAGAAAGCATCAAGTCCTTGCTGCACACTACTTTGCATGGCATCTCAGCTTGCTAGGACATGATCAAGCTAGAACGTGCAAAGTAATCCCTGAGGTGGCAGCCTCAAGACTTCAACATTTCACAAAGGCCACAAGGTTTCAGGAAAGAAATCCCTCAATCTGTCAATGTGATTTCGAGAAGTTTCATGGACGTTGATATCAGCAAGAAGAGGCTCTGAGGTGACCTCTTCTCTTTAGTCAACCAACACGCTGGCGGTATGTGTCTCAACAGCTGCACAAAAACGACATCACAATCCAAAAACTTGAAGCGCACCTTGAAGTTGACGTCAGCTAGCTTGGTGCACAAGTACTCCGGCCTGTGAATGTCGAGCTGGCCAGTGCGCAGGCTGATGACCCCGTTCTGAACGTTCAGGATGTCCGGGTTGGCATCCAGCTCCCCCACCAAATCCAGGGCCATCTCCCCTGCCATGATCGACAAGGTCGAGCCGATCTCACCAGCGTCGTAGTAGCGTCTCACTTTGTCGAGACGCTTGCTCAGCAGCTTCTTCTCTTTCTCGTCGACGGTCTCATCTATCTGCTCCTTCAATTCTGCTCGAACTCGACCGTAAACGGTGCTCAGCTGATGAATGCAGATATATCTGACCGTCTCGATTGCAGCCTGCTTGAAGCGCTTCCCATCCCATATCCACCAAGTCTTGCCCTCCGAATCATACCAGATCCTGCAGTCAGAAAGAAGAGGAAAGGTGTCACTTCTCTAGCCGCTTCGAAAAGTCAAGCTTCATTGTGGAGAAAACTGGGCCATGATGCCCATTGATCTACGTGCAAACGAAGGAAGGCTCATCGGCTGAGGTAACTGCTGTTGTCACACCGAGCTGCTAAGAGAAAGATGTGCACAAAAGGCGGACACTCGGACACAAGATGCAAAGCAGACAGTTGGTTTTGCAAGAGATTATGGCGCAATCGCTGCCGCCGTCAAATTGATTGCTGGCCCAAAAGGACACACGGAGACGACGCAAGCTGTCAACTGGAGCCGAGTGAGCGAGGGCGGGGGGCTGCTGACGTCATCTCGGGTTGCTGACTCCAAACCCATATCCAAAAACTTGGACACTCGGACACAGCATCAGCGGACACCATTCGGATTGCGATTTCGGTAGGGCTCTCAAGAAGTCGAAGTTCGGACACAAGAGAGGAGTACATCCCAACCAATGTCGGATTGAGGTCACGTAAGGAAAGAGCCTAAAACCTCTTCAAAGAATCACCCAAGATTGCGGAGCTTGAACGAGAAACGACGAAAGGTAGCTTCACCAGTGGCATCTGGAGTACATCTGCGCAACAATCCGACTGCCGCCCATGTCTCCTTTAAACGCCCAGTAGTCCACAAAGGCCTTCGTCAGCATGTCGTACACAGTCGGGTCGTCCTCAGCAACCGGGGCCGTCTCGCCCCCCACCATGCTCTCCTGTGCCGTGAGCTCCCCGATCTTGCGCTGCGGATGAACGTCGCAGCACTCGGAGCTGTTGCACTTGTAGAAAAGACCGCGACCACGTACCAGGACACAAAAGTTGTTCGAGCCGCTGTGGCTCACACCATACGGACACACGCGTGCGCCGCTGACGCGGTAGGCGTACAGATCCGGCCCCCCAGGGAACCTCTTGAGCTTGTCGAAGCGCGAGGAGGTGTCTCCTACGTCTGCAAGGCACTTCTTGATGCGCTCCAGGACCGCCGGCGGAGGGGGCAACTCGACTCCGTCGGCATCGAGGCCCTCAGCGAAGCGAGTGGGGGCCAATGGCGCTGCCCTGAAGAGGATATCAAAGGAGAGTGGTCGCTGAAACGAAGGGGACCGCAAGCGTAGTCTCTCGGGGCATCTCAGAAGAGGTTGATTACGGCCCCAGAAACGGACCGACTACGGTCTGGAGGAGAGCCCGACCGCAGATCTTAAGCAAGATTGATCACGCCCTCAACAACAGGCTGAAGGCGCTGTCCCGGAATGGCCTGTGTACGGCCGAAAGAACAAGACGAATGCGGACCCAAAACAGGCCGGTTGCAGCCCAACAAAAAAGCCTGAATGCGGCCCCAAAGCATACTGACTCCGGCCAAGAGGCCATCCCGGCTGTGTCTCAAGAGGAAATCCGGCTATGATCTTGCGCCGCCCCCAAACCTGCTTCACAATAGGTTGATTGCGCCCTTCAAAACCAGCTTGACTACGGCCCAGAGACTAGCTTGAACGAGGGCCCCAAAGCAGCCCGACTGTGCATCTCCAAAACAGCCTGACTCTATCTCCCACAACAACCTGAGGCTGTGTGTCACACAGAGACCGCGATTGATGCGGAACGTACAAAACCGGATGTCGGCACAAGGCAAGGATGGAACCTGGTACGTCCCCCTTGGTCCAGATCCGGAAAAAGGGCTGTACCTCGGTGGTGCTGGAGGAGCAGCGCTGTCGTTGATGATCCGGATCAGCCACCCGGGCATGGCGCGGAGGTTGGAGCGGTCCGGCGCGATCTCCTGCACCCACTCGTACGAGCGGACAATGCCGTCCATGCCCTTGTAGCTGCTCGGGCCCACGAAGATCATGCCACCCTCGCCGCGCATGTCCCAGCCCACCTTCTTGCCCTCATAAAGTAGACGTGCCCTGCTGGCGCCGCTCAGCAACCCAGTGGCCTTGGACTCCGAGAGGGAGAAGAAGAGGTGCTTCCCAGGCCTATTTCCTGACCACTCCCAGGGGGTGTCGACAGGCAAAGGGCCGTGCTCTGCCAGCACCTGCTCGAAGGTCGCCACCCCATTGTCCTTGCTATCGACGTCAAAGACAATGATGTCTGAGGGCTCGGTCACAATGGCGAGGCAGGTCCTGCCGGGCCGGACTCCTTGGCGCAAACAGTTGCCGAGATCGCACTTCTTCTGCCACTCTGGCATGAGGCCAGCCGGCGCTTTCTTCTCCTCTCCCTTGTCGTTCAGCGAGACTTTCATGTTGAACGTCAGCGCCACCACACCACGCGTGTGCAAGTGATGAGCGGCGGCCACGATGGGGTTAACTCGTGACGGCCCCCCCACGTCGGCTAGGCTGGGTACCTGCGAGAAATAAGCACCCATCGAGTGAGCCAGTTTCGTGAGAGAGCATCACATGGCCGTTGCTTCAAAGCAGTGCAGAAAGTCACCATCGGTTACAATGTGTGAAGCACGCGGCGTCAACCTCAAAATACCGTAATGACATCAGCAAGCAAAGCGACTTTAATTTTGAGCCGACCGCTTACCAAGCGGAGAAAGGGGGTGATCACAATCTGCACGAAAAAAGCCTACCTGACGGAAGGGCATCGTTTCCTGCACCGCAACGCCCTGGGGGAAGGGGGGGGGAGCAGGGGGCGGTTGGGTGGCGTTGGTTGCGCCCCCTGAGCTCTGGGCCGCAGCAGGTAGGTTCTGCTCCTGTTGGGCCGCCCTGGTTGCGCTCTGGGCAGCCGCGGCGCTCGGGACGGGGACGGGGGTGGAGGGCGAGGTGAGCCAGTGGTCCAGCGAGGTTGGCTCAGCCGCGTCGAGGGCGATCGGAGCACTGTTGGCAGCTGCGGCCTGCGAGGAAGTGCGGTATAGAGAGTTAGACCAGTCTTTTTGGCACCCTAGAAGCACTGCAAACAACAGAAGGGGTCCAGAAGTTCCTTAACTTTATTGTGTACGAAATCAAGTGACGTCTTCATTGGTTCGTTGGCACCGCCTCCTAGTCTTCAGATGTGCTTCACGGATCCGAGTACATCGGCGGGCATGCTGCAAAGGGGGGGTGATGTGCACCAGCCGCTCAACACGAAGGGAGGTTTGTTCGAGCATGTACCTTTTCTTCTCCTGAGAATCCAGAAGAATCACTGTGATTATCGCCTAGAGTTGTCCGGATTTCTGGTCGCTTCAAAGTTCTGAAATGCGAGTTGAGTTTCCGTGTACATCAGCTCTTAACTTGAGGGATTGAATGGCTATGTACATGAGTTGAATGGCTATGTACACGAACATCACCTGTCAAAGTCGGCAATTGACCGGCAATGTACACGACTTCATCAAAGAGTCCCTATGTCTTCTGTATCATTTGGTTGCAATTGTGCGCTCACTTCTTCTGGGCGCGCAATCAGGCCTTAATGCAATCAGCTGACTGCAGACAAACTGCACCCCGAGTTCCTATCCGATCGAGAAACAAAAGAAAGAGCGGAGGAGGGGGTGGAGGGTGCTCACCGGGCTGCTGCCCCCGCGCGAACGTGGGACGATCTCGCACGCTTGGGCGAAGTCGTCCTCCAAGCTCAGGTCGAAGAAGTCCGACCAGCCATCATCCTCGGGCTCCGGCGGCAGGTCGTCCGACCAGCCGTCATCTTCAGGCTCCCATGCGGGGTCGTCCGGCATCGGGCAGTCCGCCCCAAGCGCTTCCCCTTCCTCCGGCAAGGGGGGGTGCTTGGCGCTCGGGGCCTGGCTGCGAACCGGGGACGAGCTGCCCTCATCCTCGCTCGAGGAGTCGGAGGGTGAGAGCAGCACGCGGCGCCGGCGGTTGCTTGGGGCCGGGTTGGTCTCCACATTCGGCGCGCGGCGCTTGAGCTTTGCCAGCGCCTGGGAGAAGCCCTCTGCGTCCGAATCTGTCTCCATTGCCGCGTTGATCCGGCCGTACTGCACCACTTCGTTCTCCTCTTCCTGAGGCGCGTCGTCGATCATGGTGCGATCCTGAGAGGTCTCCTCATCCGAGGACTCGTCTTTGCCTTCAAACTCCGCCCCCTCGATGTCCTCGCCCTCCCCTTCTGACTCCGTCTTCCGCCACTCCTCTCCGCTGAAGGCGCGCGGCGGCTGCTGGTTGCTGCCACTGCTTGCCTGCACAACCATGCGTGCCGCTTGACATAAGAAGAATTAATGAATCAATGTGAGGCTAAGACTAGCGTTGCAGCTGTTGAGAGACCGCTGTCCGAGTGTCCGAGTTTGTGACATGCTTTTTGAGCTCGAGCCTGCTTCGTGACGTCAGCAACCATCACCTCAAGATGGCCAGCGCGATGGGTTGAGACAATGCCAACACCCCTGTCTGAGTGTCCGAGTTTGTGACCAACCTTTTGGGCTCAGGCCTGTTAAGTGACGTCAGCAGACAACCCGAGTGGAATCCTTCTGTGATTGATGGTGATGGGAGCAATGCCTGTCTGAGTGTCCGCCTTTGTAGCATGCCTTTTTAGCTCGGGCTTGTTAAGTGACGTCAGCAGACATCCTAAGGTAGAAACTTTGTAGTTAACAGGGGAGATATTCGTCCAAGTGTCCGAGTTCCTGTCACACCTTCTGAGAGCGAAGCTCCCGAATGATGTCGGCAGAGCTGAACGGTCTTCGATTCCTCAAGTTCTGTGGTGCATACGTAGGGTCTTTCAAGAACACCGTGAGTATGCAGCAGATGAATCCTAGACAGCTTTCGAGCCGATACCAGAAACTTCCAGTACTTTGACGGAAGTTGAACGCTGGTTTCATTCGGAATGAGAACAAGCCTCAAGCGAAGAAAGATCAGACTCAAAGTTGAGATTAGCAAGAGACTGTAACATGACCATTCGTTTCTGGGAACGGCAGATTGACTGGCGAGTTTTCCGGTCAGCCGAACATGATCTCGAACAGCCGGAGAGATTTGTTGGGCGGCATCCGGACGGAACTCTAGACAACCAGACATTTGCAGACACGCGAGGGTTTATGGCAGCCAGACAGGGACCTGGGCAACCGGACATGTTTCTGAACACTCAAAGAAGGTTGGGCAGCCTCAGCCGGAATGAGATCAGGACAGCCGGACAGAATCTTGGACCTTTGGACAAATCTCTGGGCAGCCGGGGAGGTTCTTCAACAACCAAGCGACGGTCTACAACACTGCCCAAAAAGCAAGGAACTGGGGGCGTGTGCGAATGGGTCTGCTTGCTTGGTTCTCTTTAGCGTTCGCATGCACTCGCACTTGAGACGCACCTGACTGCAATGGGCGCTGGACGGCTGTGGCCGACTGTCAACGTCCATGGATTCACCAGGAGCGCCGGCGCCCCCCTGGCCGGAGGGGGTGCTCGTCATCTTCGTCATAAGGCCCGGGGGCCTGCCCTCTGGGTCGCCGTTGTCCTGCACGTAAAGCGGAAGGTATCAGAAATCCGCCGTATAGGCGAAAGTCCAGGCGAAAGGTCACAAGAAAAGCCCTCAATACTGGCCGGTGGGCCGGTGAGCACCCCTGTCCGGGTGTCCGAGTTTGTGACCTACCTTCTGGGCTCGGGCCTCATTCGTGACGTCAGCATCTATCATGACAAGCCGAGCTGTTAACACAAGAGCACTAGTTGTCCCCGGAACACCGGCATAATTCTTGAGGCGCGCCTGCTTAGTGGTTGGGTTCGATAAAGTTTTAACAATCTTAACACTAACCCGTGAGTCGGAGGTGGCTGCTTCGAGCTGCTGCGAAGCTGCCACTTCCTCTCTCAGCCTGCGTTGAAAATCGTGGAAGTAGCTGGGGTCGAAGAGGCCATGTAGAACAGGGATGGAAGCAGGCGCCTGGTTGTCCACACCCGTTGAGCCAGCGCGGTTGGTATGCGCAACAAGGGTGCTTCTGGAGGGCACTTCTGGATGAAGTGCACGGGCGCTTCCGCCTGGTTCGGTCGGGCGACCATCCTGTACGACAATACGGCTTTGGTTTAAACCTGAAGGAGGATTTGTGCCGTCAACTATAGCAATCATTCTAGGTGTTTTTGATAAGTGCTGACGTCACCAGGACCATCCTCTCTGAAAAGTCATCGCAAAAGCTCGGACACTCGGACAGAGTCTGCGCCATCAACT